TTATTTTCGGTGATGCTTTGTATGACAATAAGATTGGTTTTCACATATTCTAATTAAAACACATACTTTATATTTATTTCTAAACTGGGATTAATACAGCTTACATTTGTAACAGCTGAAAGCAAGTCATATTCAAAGGAGTGCCACTAAGAAAAAATGTTTTCTCAGACAAGGAGGAAACACCTTTAAAAGCATACTTTGTAGAGTTTCCTTTCAGCTGCATTTCACATTGAGAAAATCTTCATATTGCAAATTTGAAAATCAGACACTGATTTCTAGGTAATGCCAATGAATTTAACATGTAAAGAGTAAGGAACTTCACTTAAAAAAATAAAAAAGACAACCACAGGGAATTCTGTTAATCCCATCCAGCTTAGACAGTATTTCAACATGACAGAATTATTATATTTCTAAAGACATTTATGTCAGAAGAACTTGGACCTCCTGAAAGAGGATAAAGTGAGACTCCCCTCTGGATAACATCATATAGTTGAAACAGGGGGTGGAAGGGGTCTACTAAGCCCGGCCTCCAGAGAGGAAGACTGGAAGGGGCCCAATAAATTCTTCTACTGGTCACTAGCCTGTCCTTTCTCCTCCTAAGCAGTGGAAACAGAACACACGCAGGGCATCCTGATGAAAACACATACTTTATATTTCTTTCTAAACTGGGTTCCTGGGCATGTGGGAACACAAGCTTACTGTCTCTGCATCTGCTGGGCAAAAATATTTAGGTTAAATATAACCAACATGATGGAAATCTGCTTAAAGAGTAGAGAGGTCCAGGAATTTTAAAGGACGGGTTAGCACTATCTGAAATTTCCCCAAACTGCCCTGAATAGACCATGTGGATACTTTACATGGAAGCCTGCTTTGAGCCTCCTGCTGCCCAAAGCTTGCAAGGCCTCGGCAGCTGTGTGCACTTTGCACCAGTCCACCCCCAAAGCCTTTGCAATTCCAACCCCAGAGATACTGGCTGACAAGCATTAAACTATGTAAAATGGAAAATTAAATGGAAAGCCTCTTCCCGCCTTCTCCAGGTGCTATGTAACTGGGAGCATGGATCCTTATCAGCCTGTTTTACAAGCCACTGCTAGGTCTTCCAAAGCAGGACGCCATCTCATCTTCATCTCTGTCCAGTAAGGTCATGGTGCTCTTGAATACTTTACTCTGTGAAACACTGATGATGCCCAAAAGCTGCCATTCCCAGGCTACACCTTCTAACAGGCACGTTCTTCAGATGGAAACAGGCACACCCCTACTCCAGCAATCACAGAACCACGACTGAGTCATGGATACTTGCTCTGTGAAGAGGCAGTGGAACCTGCACACCCTGAATTGATTTAAGAGGAAGCTCTTCTCCCTTTATGTCCCCACCACTCCTGCCTCTTCAAAGACCTGTGGCTACAGTCTTCCTGGAGAGGAAATTCTTGTGAATTTTCCTTCTCCTCCCTACCACACCTCCAGTGTGCCCTTGGCAACAGGTTCTAATTCTGCAGGTCATGGAAGGAGAGAGAACAGAGGACGTTGTCAACAGCAGTGCCTCCCTCTCATCCCTGTACAGTCCTTGCATTCTGCAGAAGAACACAGTGGGAGGTAAGGTCTCCAGAGACGGGGTCTTCTGGATGAGAAGCACTTACCAGCCGCCTCCTAATTCCTTCTGCTTTCACCTCCAGTTGCCACATTTCATGCTCAGCCGAGTTAAGGCAACATGTTGGCTTGAGCAGAGGAAAAATGCAGCTTCAGTATCATGAAATGAACTACTCTGTCATCAAGGCAGAGCTTACAACACAGACATTGAAAGGTCTGACAAAGCCCACGTGGAATGGGGATCCTGCATGGCTTGTTTATAAACTGAATGTTCCCTCCCCCAATGCAACTTGACAGTGGTAACACTTCTCTTTTCTTAATTTCTCATTTCCAACACCATGCCAGGAACCTAGTAGATACCTGGAATAATGAGAACTCTGTTTATATCTGGAGACAAAATTAAATAACAAAAAATATACTGAAGGGGAATACTGAGGCATTATGGGGAGCATACAAGAAGGGGTCTACATCCTGGCCAACATGGTGAAACCCTGTCTCTACTAAAAACACAAAAATTATCTGGGTGTGGTGGCATGTGCCTTAGTCCCAGCTACTCGGGAGGCTGAGGCAGAAGAAATGCTTGAACCTGGGAGGCAGAGGTTGCAGTGAGCCAAGATTGCGCCACTGCACTCCAGCCTGGTGTCTGGCGACAGAGCAAGACTCTGTCACCAAAAAAAAAAAAAAAAAAAGGGGGGGGGGTCTAATCAGTCAGCTACAGGGTGGGACTGTATTAGATTAAATATTAAGAACCTCCTGGCTGGATGAGTGGCTCATGCCTGTAATCCCAGAACTTTGGGAGGCTGAGGCAGGTGGATCACAAGGTCAAGAGATCAAGACCATCCTGGCCAACATGGTGAAACCCCGTATCTACTAAAAATACAAAAATTAGCTGGGCATGGTGGTGTGTGCCTATAATCCCAACTACTTGGAAGGCTGAGGCAGGAGAATCACTTGAACCCCGGAGGCAGAGGTTGCAGTGAGCCAAGACTGCACTCCAGCCTGGTGACAGAGTAAGACTGTCAAGAAAGAAAGAAAGAAAAAAAAGAAGAACAAACCTCCTGCAGTACAACACAAAAAATCAAACCAGTACCCTTTCTTTCCTGCTTAGAATACTTTAAAAATTGTGGCACTGTATCTCAATGAGAGGGAAAGAGCAATAAATGAATGGATGGCTCTCAATTATTAAAAGTTTCGGCCAGGCACAGCGGCTCATGCCTGTAATCACAGTACTTTGGGAGGCCTAGGTGGGAGGATTGCTTGAGGCCATGAATTTGAGACCAGCCTGGGCAACATAGTGAGATATGTTAAAAAAAAAAATTTTAATGAGCTAAGTGTGGTGGCACATGCCTATAGTCCCAACTACTCGGGGGCCTGAGGTGGGAGGATTGCATTAGCCCAGGAGTTTGGCTGCAATGAGCTACAACTGCACCACTACACTACAGCCTGGGCAAAAAACAAAACCATGTCACAAGAAAAGTTTGTAATAAAAAAAAAAAAAAAAAAAAAAAAAAAAAAAATTTGGTTATAATCAGAGGCACGTAATGTCAAAGTCCAGGATGTACAAAAGAAAACGTGCTGCACTGGCCACATCCTTGAAAATAAATTATCTGCAGGAGATAAAATTTCAGAAGAACCAAGAATAGTGTGAAGAAAGTCATCTTGTTTTCTCAGAATAAATACCAAAGATCTATCTATGGTGGACAGCTCAGAAGAGACAGGGCATAAGAACAGAAGTAATGTTGGGAAAAATTAGCTAAACTAGACTAAACAGCAGCTGAGGAAGCGGGGTAAGATGAGAATGAGGAATTAACAGAATAAGCTCACTGGAAGGCCTTCAAGCTGAGTGAAAGGAATTTAAATTTGCTACACAAAACTCAGCCCACCATTTATATGAAATGTCCAGAATAAGCTACACAGACAGAAAGTATTAACATATTACTGGTTGACCAAGACTGGGGAGCTTGGGATAGGAAATAGAGTGTGCCTTCTAATAATGGTCACAGGGTTTCTTTTGGGGATAATGAAAATGTTCTACAATCAGATAGTGGTGATGGTGATAGTTGCACAACTTTTTAAATATATTAAAAACCATACAATGGTTCAAATGAGTGAATATTGTGGTATGTGAATTTCATCTTAATAAAGCAATGAAGACAAAATAAAACAAAAATACACTAAAGATTCTGATTCAGCTGAAAATTATTGCAAGAAGCTGCTTTCCTTAAGCTGAGGGGCCCCTCACCAAACTACAGTGAGGTCTACACCAGAGAGCCCACAACACAACCCCAGGAATCTCACAGACCTTCTGGGGCAATCTCCAAAGTGCAAACTGGATGAACCTGCTGCCTGTTTTTCCAAATTACACTTAGAAGACATCACAGGTGACTAAAGAAAATAAGGATTTCAAATGTGGTTCATTCCATTTGATTACATATTAATGTGGAAGTGGCATTCAGTCCACGATAAAACAAACGATCCCTCAAAGATATGTGCATAACTCAGCAAAGGGGGAGTTAAATCTTTCAGAAGAGCTCTACTGTGAAACTGCAATATAATCTTGGAACAGAGGAAGGCCTGAACAAACCCTCCAGGGGTCTCCCCATCTGTTATCTGAAAGGTACCTAGCTAGACACCTGAGTTACACACAGACACTGGAGCCCACCTGCAGAAACATAAATGCAGTCTGTCTGGGATGGATGTAAAAATAAGGACTCTTAAATTCCATAGATGATTCTAATACACACCTGGGACTGAAAACTACTGTATTAATCAAAATCTTAATTTTCCATAGAAAGAAAAGGTGCAAAAAGGTAAATTAAATGTTGCTCAAGTCACCTGGCAAATTGGCCTAAATGTCAGGACTGGAACCCATGTCTCCTGACCCCCAAACTTCAGGACAACCATGTTTACTCTGTGGGTGTGGAGGCTCAGGGAGGTTATCCTTAGAAAATGCTGGCCTCAAAAGGCAGAAAATCCTGTGATTAAAAAACTACAGAACATACCCCTGAGCTATCATCAGGGAAATAAGTGACCTTGAGATTGGGCTAAGATGACGTCCTAATATGCAGGAATTTCATGGCTCTGCCATGTGCCCCAGTGGGACCTGATGTGCAACAAATGGAACTTAATATGGAGGAGCAAAGATTTTTGTAATTTCACAGACCAGATCTTATCTGGAATTCCTTTTTTTAAACAAATAAGCTGAGTGTTATAAAGTAAACATCAAGGAATACTAAAAGCCAATGCTTCATTCTCTCAGCTACACATGGAACCAGTGCTGCCCGCAAAGAGCAAAGCAGGCCCTGGCAGACTGACCTTCACAGACCACGCTAAAACCCTCTGAGGAAGTGCCTGGTGAATGCTCTGGTTGACGAGCTTCGAGCCATTACATTACCGAGCAGTGTGCTTCTTACCTATAATTCCACTGTCCTTGCTTTCCAGGGTGGAACTAGGGCTGCTAATGGTCTCACAGGGACTTTTGTTGGCTGCCGTCTTGCTGACACAGCTATTCAAGGTTGAGCAGGGGCTATCGGTGCTAGGAGATGCGGTGCTGCTTGTTAGTGTGGAGCAAGGACTGATGCCTTGGCTCAGAGCTGTGCACTGCAAGACGAACGGAAGGAGGAGTTAGCACGGCTTACACAGGATGCTTTGACACATGCTTTTGTTTTTGACACTAAAACAATAAAACTAAGAACAGGAAAACGGAAGTTTTTAAAAAAAGTCTAAAGAGATATGTGTGTATAGATATGGATACATGGAGCTGTATCTATATAAATGTATATGTGGTCTTCCCAATTTTAAGGGAGAAATACCTTTCTTCTCTTCCCCTCCTTTGTGATTTTCCATTTTATTAAAAGGTCAGTCTTAACAATAATTTAGTGAGAATGCACATTTGTAAAACAGAAATGGCAAACAGGCAGACTTCCTTTCATTTGAAGTCTGCAGAAGACAAATGGGTTATTTGACCTCTGTACAGAAAACCTGGGAACTCTTTTTTTATAATGTTTCACGAGCACAGTGACCTGATTCAATTCCTAAAGATTTATGGGCTCTGCAATCAGGGGATGGAGACTGGTGACCACTGCGGTCTCAATCAACACATGACACCCTCCCTTGCAGAGCAGAGACCTTCACCAGGGGTAGAGGCTCCATTCTGCATTGCTATTCAGACGCACACATCACATCTGGGAAGTGGCAGGGTGCATGCTGCTGCTCCCTTGGAGGGAGAAGTGCTCTCCTGATAGATGAACCATTTGATCTCATCTTATTTTGTCTCTGCCTCATCTCCTATAAATCTTTTCCTCACCCCAGTGAACCTCCAAAATCTCAACAGCTAAAAAAGCACAGGAAAGCATATACCAAAGCAACCAGATGAGAAGAATGGTGCTATAAAGGTAAAAGTACTGGTATCATTATGAAGGAATTCTTTTAGCCTCTTTAATTCACGTAGTCATTATTCTCTGGGTGGTGACTGGAAGGTTAAAGTGGACATTTTCTTATGTTCTGCTTCTTTCTGCTTTTCCCCACCTCCCCACTACAAAAACCCAGAACCACACTGTTGAAATAAATTTCAGTACACAACAGCCCAGAACTCATTTAACTGAACAATGACTTCCCCACTCAAGGAAAGGGAGAAGATGGTTATTGCTCCATTCATCCTCTGAAGAGGTACGCAATGTAGTATCTTCCTCGGGCATTACCATGGTTTCATTTTTGTCTTCAATGGTTATGTGTGTGGCACTTGGGATCCCTTCTCCCAGTAAAAATCCCAGCCTTGTCAACAGTTCTTGAGCTGCCGGTGAACAGCTCGGTTCATTATCGGCCTTTGCTTCTGGAACAAAGAAAGAAAACAATGAAGATGGCCCCCTGGGGAGCTTCAGTATGCATCTGGATGAGTTCACACTACAGCTGCTTGTCTGGCGATTTTGTGCGTTTTTATAAAATTCGCACAAAGTTTGACAATGCGGCCTGTCCTGTAGCAATACATTCTAATTAAGGGACTGTGACAGGTTAAGGAAACAGTAAAACAAAAACTCCAAGTGCAAAGGGTGAATCAAAAAAGCCCAGTGTTATCTGACGGCAATTCCTAATTCCATGTCATGTGAAAACGGGTACTTCAGACACTCGCTTGTGTAAGAAAAGGCCCGTCCTTCATGTTACCCTTATAGAGTGCAGGGTGGCTAACGCCCACGGGAGGTTGAAATAAAGCAAAAACCCTAGGGGCATGCTGGTAGAGACCCAGGCTATTTAGGGTAAAACTGAAATCCAAGCTCTCATTAAACAAGACAGGGGCAAGACAGTGGAAGCTTTGATGGAAAACTTGCTGTGCACATCCCACAATAGAAGTCAAAACCCGGATTTCGACTTGACGGTCAATCGTGGAGAATCCACACTGAAACAAAGATTTAAAATCACAGTGAAACCTGTCCCAAGAGACAAGACCCAGTATCACACTGTTGTCCATGTAAAGATGTAGAAAAATCAAGCTATATTCTATTCTCAGAATGCTGCACAGCAATGCTGGGAAAGCCCAATTTTCTCGGGTTCTCCTTGAGGTTGGTCATCTGGCTTTTCGTACTTAAGAGAATTTTATGGTTGGATTTAAATGTTGAGCTGTAGGTTAACCCTGTACCTAAAAAGCCCAAAGGCACTTAATTATGGCCAAGAAATAAAACGATATCCACATCCTTCTAACACTTCTCACCTTCTAATCAGTTTGCATCAGGGGATGAAAAATGTACAAAGCAAGTTGCTTACAGAAGTTAGAACTTAACAACAAGTAACCTATGACATAGTCATTCAATATTTTGCTCTTGTTTATTAATTGTCTAGGTACCTAGACTCACATGAAACTATTCTGCTTATATGTAAAAATCTGCAGATAATGGGTAAAGGTCTTAGAAAAAACAAAATGAGGAAACAACACAGTGATGTTGCCACTGAGTGAGCTACAATAGCATCAATAAAGTTCAATGCTCACTTTGCCTTTTGTAAGGAACCACAAAAATCAAAATAAGCACAGCTTTTGCAAAGGCCCTCTGTCTTATTCTCACTCACATATCAGTTTTCCAAGTCATGCACCCAGGATAGCAGCTACAAGGAAAACTACACTGGCAGCATCTTCAAGAAAGGAAAAGTGTCCCACCCCTTGCTTGCTCGCAAAAGCTCCTAATGTTTGGGGTAGGAAGAATGGTTTGCCAGCTTGGATGTTTTTTATTTGCTCTGGAAAAGTACAGGTGTACAGAAACCAAGGCTTGACTGTTTGGGGTTAAAAGAGCCCTGATGCTTCTGGTTCATGTGAACCAAACAAGAAGGGCAATGGCTCCAAGCCAACACAGGGAAAGGGAGCCACCCCAGGGTGGGTCAACCACATGCCAATGCCGCTCTACAGGAGGTCCCTTCCTACCTCAAAGTATATTTTGATTCTCAAAGTAGCTGGGCATTTGGGAAAGGAGGGCGGGGACCAAACCAGATCAGCACACCCAGGCACACCCAAGGGCTGAGGCCCTCAGAACAGGATGGCACCGCCCTCCCTCCGCCCCTGCCCCAGGCCCAAGAAGGGCAGCTGCTTTATCTCAGGTGGCAGCTGGGCTGGAGGGAGGGAACAGGACGCAGATGGAAAGGGGAAGAAGTGGGTGAGGGGGCAGCTCTTAGCCGTTTCTCCACTCCACACCCCGCTTCCCTTTCGAAACAATCTCCACACTGCTCCCGATTGTGATTATGCCCCAGAACATCTAGCTTCTGGTTCAACCTGAAACACTCTGGGGAGAGAGCCAGAAACGACTCCCAGTTGGCAGCTGCTGTGTAGGCACAGAGAGCAGCTGCACAAGCTTGGCTCCACAGAATTCACCTCGACAACAAACAGGGCCACGCCTGCGGCTCACTTGGGACTGGCAGGAGGACCCTGATCCTGTGTAGGTCCTTCGTGCAGCAGGAGGATTGCAACACCCCAGCACAGTCGCTGCTGCCGCCGCCCCCACACTGTACCTGCAGATATTCCAGGTTCTCAAGTGTTTCATTATTTTAAAATTCAGAAACAACTCACCATCCAACCCACTTCAGTTAAGTTAGGGAGCAGTTGAATTGAAAAAGGACACCCAGGCCAGGTACGGTGGCTCACGCCTGTAATCCCAGCACTTTGGGAAGCTGAAGCAGGTAGATCACCTGAGGTCAGAAATTCGAGAGCGGCCTGGCCAACCTGGCAAAACCCCGTCTCTACTAAAAATATAAAAATTAGCTGTGTGTGGTGGCAGGCACTTGTAATCCCAGCTACTCGGGAGGCTGAGGCAAGATAATTGCTTGAACCCAGGAGGTAGATGCTGCAGTGAGCTGAGATTGTACCACTGCACTCCAGCCTTGGCAACAGAGTAAGACTGTCTCGAAAACAAAACAAAACAAAAAAAGGAAAAGGGACAACCAAATTCATGATTAACTGTTCCCTTAACTGTATGAACTGGACTTTGTTGATATCCAAGTTCTAAACCCTCACCCGGTGTTGAGATGAACGAACAGACATTATTTACTTCATGTTTATATCCATTAAGGCACTGCAATTTTATTTCCTCCAAAGGCTTCCTACCTGTCTTTTCATATTCTGTCTTCTAAAATGTCATCCCAGTGATCTTCCCCTTAAAAAGTCCCCTTCAGTATGAATTCCTTAATCCACATGAAACTGTCTGAATCTCTCCCTCCCTAATGCACAGAGCCCTCTCTCACTGAACTTCTCACTCTGGCAGAAGGATCCCTGGGAGAAGTGTCACTGAGCCATCCTGGGAGAGATGAGTTGCTTAGGAACTCACATGGATGCACTGTGAAATAGAAATACATTTCTACTTGCATACTGTTCACTAAATATTGAGATCAGAACAGCCAGATGGTTCTAAGCTAGTTACTACAAAAGCACCTCCAAGTCAAATTCAAATGGACTACTCTAAATAGCAAGTCTATTTTCATTTATGTAGTTAATAGTAAGTCACTTATCAATAATGGGTGTACATTACCCAATACCAGTGGGATAAAGGCTGGAGAGAAGACTTCACTTTACATTTCACAGATTTAAATATCCAAAGACTGTATGATAGCCATATTTGGAGTTGAGAGAATAATTGGCCTCACACACCCTAGGAATTCATTAAACAAGTGGAAAGCGAATATTCCTCCCCATAGCACATCCATGGAACCCTCAGTATCACACAACATGAAAGGCTTACTGCATGGAGAAAGGTAAAGGGAAGTCCTTGAATCACTTCCTGCCTGCCTCTATTCAGCTGCTCACCCCCTGGTGGACTATACTTGGGGGCACAGATGCTAAGGGGCATTCCACAAACTGACCAGCTCCCCAACTACTGCCATCATAACTTCAAACCATTAGTGCCCTTTCAGTCATCTTCTCATCTTCTCCACTGTCTGGGAAGCCAGGGTGTTCTCAGTGCTAACCACCATCCAGATCCTTTCGGGGACTGAATTTTTCTCAAGTGCACTTTCTTAGTGAGGTAAGTGGCCATATCCACTTCCTACAGGTTGTGGCTCAAAACAAATGTGTGTGAGAAACAGCTTATAAACCACAAGATGCTATAGAATTGGTCACTATCTCTACCAACTTAAACACCAAGAGCCCACACTTCCTTGCTATTATTTTCTGGTTTTATAAGTTCATATTCTATTTTCAAGTGTGCTTATATGTCTTACATAGCTTTCCGGTCCTAATTTTTCTGCTTCGAACATGTTTTTGTAAACTCACTATTCCATAACAATCACCCTCCTTTTTCTGCTTACCAAATCATCCCAATTTGGCCTGCACCTTACTGCTTTCATTTTCCATTCCAATCATTCCCTCTTCTTAAAGCCAGTGGGGGACTGCAGGTCCCTAGTGATGACCAAGTATCATTACGTAGAGAAGAGTCTCTCCTCCACTCTTGTCCTCCCCTCAGACTCTAAAGAACACCGAGTATTGTTGACGACATTCATCAGTTCACTATCTATGTGACCTTGAACAACTGACTTAATTCCAAGTGTCCAAGATAGCACTTGTGAATCAAGTCTGCTAAATGAGACAGGCCCTTGGTTTGACATTAATCCTCTGCCTCTATCTATCCATGACCTGCTTCTTCCTTAACCTCCTGCCTTCTGTGACTCCTACTTCAATTATTTTCCCTGTTTCTGCCTGCTCCTTCTCAGCCATCAATTCCCAGACTCCTTAGATTTCCAAAAACAGTATTTAAAAAGGAACAGGGCAGATGCCATGGCTCATGCCTGTAATCCCAGCACTTTGGGAGGCTGAGTTGGATGGACTACCTGAGGTCAGTAGTTCAAGACCAGCCCGGCCAACATGGAGAAATCCTGTCTCGGCACTCCAGCCTAGGTGACAGAGCAAGACTCCATCTCAAAAACATAAAAATAAAAAGGAACATCTATCCATGGACCTGCTTTGTTTCTGTCAATAATTTGTTGTTTCCGGTCTGCAATACTAAAACATAGTTATCATGCAGCTACCTTCAAAATTTTCATGTCATCCACTCCATATTGATATTGTCACCAAACTTACTATTTCTGTCAAACTGCCTCCTGAATTAGCCTTTTATTCTTCAGCATCCACCACTCAACTCAAAGTCTCATCCTGTTAAGTCTAGAGGACTATCAGAGTTCAATCAATGTCCTCACTTCTGTTTTCTCCCTCTCTTTTCCTTCCTCTAAAGCCAGAAGGTTCTTAAACTTCTTGGTCTCAAGATTCACTCTTAAAAACTGGGGACTGCAAAGAGCTTTGGCTTATGAGGGTTATGTCTATTGATATTTATCATACCAGAAATTAAAACTAAGAATTTTTAAATTGTT